GAAACTCAGCAAAGATACAGAAGACCTAAAGGGCACAATCAGCCAACTTGACCTCATAGACATATATAGAACACTCCATCCAACCACTGCAATGTACACATTCTTTTCCAATGCACATGGAACGTTCTCTACAGAGCAATCCTCAACAAGATCCAAAACGTTGAGAGAATACAAAGTAACTTCCCTGACCACAATGCTATAAAGGTAGAAATTAACAACAAAAAGAGCAAGGAAAAAAAATCAATTACATGGAGTCTGAATAATACCCTGTTTACACTTCACAGGGTAATAGAAGAAATCAGAGATGGAATCAAAAAGTTTCTAGAATGAAACGAGAATGAAAACACATCATACCAAAACCTTTGGGACACAGCAAAGGCAGTCCTCAGAGACAATTTATAGCAATTGATGCACACATCAAAAAAGAAGAAAGGAGTAAAATCAAAACTTTAACTACACAACTCAAACAAACAGAAAGAGAACAGCAAAAAAAAAAAAGCCCACAGCCACCAAAAGAAAGGAAATAATACAGATCAGAGCAGAAATAAATGAAATAGAGAATAGAAAAACAATAGAAAGAATCAACAAAACCAAAAGTTGGTTCTTTGAAAGTGTCAACAAAATCGACAAACTACTGGCCAGACTGACAAAAGAAAAACAGGAGAAGATGAAAATACCCCAGATAAGAAATGAAATGGGTAACATTACAACAGACTCAACTGAAATAAAAAGGATCTTAACAGAGTATTAAGAAAAACTATACTCCAACAAATGTGAAAACCTAGAGGAAATGGATAACTTTCTGGAAACACACTACCTACCCAAACTACAACCAAGTGATGTTGGAAATCTGAACAGACCCATAACAAGAGAAGAGATTGAAAAGGTAATAAAAAAAACTCCCAACAAATAAAAGCCCTGGTCCAGATGGCTTTTCTGGAGACTTCTACCAAACATTCAAAGAAGAGCTTGTACCAGTACTATTCAAAGTATTTCAGAACATAGAAACTGAAGCAACACTTCCAAATTCATTCTATGAAGCCAGCATAACCCTGATACCAAAACCAGGCAAAGATGCCACAAAAAGAGAAAATTACAGACCAATATCTCTCATGAATATAGATGCAAAAATTCTCAACAAAATTCTAGCCAATAGAACTCAGCATCATATCAAAAAATAATACACCACGACCAAGTAGGATTCATACCAGGTATGCAAGGATGGTTCAACATTAGAAAATCAATGTAATCCACCACATAAATAAAAGGAAAGAAAAGAATCACATGATCATCTCTATTGATGAAGAAAACGCATTCGACAAAGTTCAACACTCATTCCTGTTAAAAACTCTCAATCAAATAGGTATAGAAGGGAAATTTCTCAACATTATAAAGGGCATCTATGCAAAAATAACAGCCAACATCATTCTTAATGGAGAGAGGCTGAAAACTTTCCCCCTGAGAACAGGAACAAGACAAGGATGCCCTTTATCACCACTCCTATTTAACATTGTGCTGGACGTTCTAGCTAGAGCAATAAGGCAAGAAAAAGAAATAAAGGGCATTCAAATTGGTAATGAAGAAGTTAAACTGTCCCTGTTAGTGGATAATATGATACTATACATAGAAAATCCAAAAGACTCCACAAACAAACAAACAAACAAACAAAAAAACTACTGGAACTAATAGATTTAGCAGAGTATCAGGATACAAGATAAACATTCAAAAATCAGTTGGATTCCTATACACCAATAAAGAGAACAAAGAAAAGGAAATCAGGAAAAGAATATCATGTATAATAGCCCCTAAAAAAAAAAATACTTAGGAATAAATCTAACCAGGGATGTAAAAGATCTTTACAAAGAAAACTACAAAAGACTACTGCAAGAAACCCAAACGGATCTACATAAATGGAAAAACATACCATGCTCATGGATAGGTAGACTCAACATTGCGAAAATGAGAATTCTACCCAAAGCAATTTACAAATACAATGCAATCCCGATCCAAATACCAACAACATTCTAAAAAGAGATGGAAAAATTAATCATTAACTTTATATGGAAAGGGAAGAAGCCCTGAATAAGTAAAGCACTACTGAAGAAGAATAAAGTAGGAGGACTCACACTACCTGACCTCAGAATCTACTATACAGCTACGGTAGTCAAAACAGCCTAGTACTGGTACAACACCAGATACGTTGATCAACAGAACAGAATTGAGAACCCAGACGTAATTCCATCCACCTGTGGTCACCTGATCTTTGACAAGAGCCCAAAGGTCATCAGACGGGGAAAAGACAGTCTTTTTAACAAATGGTGCTGGCAAAACTGGATATCCATCTGCAAAAAAATGAAACAGGACCCGTATCTCACACCATATACAAAAACTAATTCAAAATGGATCAAAGACATAAATATAAAACCAAAAACTATAAAGTTCATAGAAGAAAAAATAGGACCAACACTATAGGCCCTAATACAAGGCATTAACAGGATACAAACCATAACCATCAACACACAAACCCCAGAAGATAAGCTAGATAACTGGGATCTTCTAAAAATCAAACACCTGGGCTCTTCAAAAGACTTCACCAAAAGCATAAAAAGAGAACCTACAGATTGGGAAAAAAATTTTTGGACAGTACAAGTCAGACAAAGTTCTAATCTCCATAATCTACAAGAAAATCCAACACCTCTACAACAAAAAGACAAATAATCCTATTAAAAAATGGGTAGAATGTAAATGAACTTCAAAGTTTGGTGATGTTCACAAATGGCCCTTTTGCCAACATGCTTCCTGTACCACCCTTTAGCCCAGTGATGGGGTGAAGAGATAAAGACTATTTTAGCAGTCAGCTTTAGAAAACTTGCTGCCAAAAAGTTGTGTGGACCTAAAAGTCATACCACTGCTCTGGGTGAGAGGGATTTTACTTAAGAAATTACCCCCTCCCAATTCTTCTCCATGTGCATATAGGACAGATTAAATAAGGCAGTTGTATGGTAATATCAAAATTATTAAAAGCATTCTTCTTGAGGTTTGACAACGAAGCAGTAGATATGTATCTACTACATAGTTGTTACTCAGAAGAGTATGTTTCAAATAATCAATTGGTATTCATTTAAAGCACAATAATGGTCTTATTAAAGCTAAATTTAATACATGCTGTATTTGGAAGTCATTTCTTTACCACCACACAGAAACCTTTCCAGCTGTCCTTTTTTTGTTGCATTGTTGACATTCAGTGGCAAATTAGAAGACTCTCTGATGAAAATTCCCTGAGGCTAGACATGTGTGCTTATTTTCAATTCAAACTTAGTATCAATGACTTCCCTACTATATCTCCAATTGTCCCAAATAGATGGCCAGATTATAGGTAAAACTCAATTCATCTTCAAAAATTTGAAGGGTAGGATGGGCATTGCCTAATTTGGAAATGGGAAGAATAGGATTCTTAGTGAGTCCACATAAACGAATAAATAGTTCTTGATTTCTAATAATCTCTCATCAACGACCATAAAATATTCTATCTTGTTTACCTTTTAAATTATTTACCTTTAACAATTTCTACATTTCACATTTTGAGTTTGCTTTGCAGAAATATTTATTACTAGTAACATTAAAAGAAGCGGAAAGTAAAACTACTATCAGGCAGAGAAAAATTACCTGAGTTAGAGCACAGGGAAAATACTCCATCTTCATTCCACTAAAAATCAAATATTTAATCTTGCCCCCAATTGAGTCAGGAGTAAAAGCTTTTACAGTCACAGTGGAAGTACCTGTAAAAATTAGGTAAAAAAGAACTCCTTTAGGAAAAGAAATTTTCAGAGAAAAACAAGAGCAAACATTGAGTATTTACTATTTGCCTACTATATTTTCCCTTGTTCAGTCATTCAACAACTACTTACAGAGTGTCTTCAATAAGCCAGATCCCATGCTAAGTGGTAGAATGTAGTGGCAAATAAGATAGAAAAGGTCCCTGTCCTCATGGTTGTATTAACAGGTAGAGGAGACAGACAATGAACCATTAAACAAATACACAAACAAGGCAGATTTCAGATTGTGTTAAGAACCCTGGAAAGAAACACATTTATGTACTAAAACAAAAAACAAAAACAAACCTGTTGCTGTCAAGTAAATTCTGACTCATAGCAACACTATAGGACAAAGTAAAGCTGACCCACAGGGTTTCCAAGGCTGTAAATCTTTATGGAAGCAGACTGCCACATCTTTCTCCCCAGGAGCAGCTGGTGGGTTCGAACTGCTGACCTTCTGGTTAGCAGCTGAGCACTTTAACACCATGCCACCAGGGCTTAGTTTATGTGATAGAAACCATTTTTTGGGGGGTGGTAAGCACTCCTTTAGAGAGGCCTAGGAGTAGTGATATTCCAGATGAACCTTGAAGGATAAGAAGCCATGGAAAGACCTGGAAGAGGATTCTAGGAGAAGGAACAGCAACTGCAAAGCCACTGGGGCAGGAAACGGCTTGGTTTAGTGAGGCACAGCAAGTGATGGAAAGAAGTAGAAGGTGAAGATGGCATGGCAGGCAGGGTCATATTTTATTCTAAATGAAATGAAAAATCATGGAATTGCTTTAAGAAATAGAGTAAAATAATCTGATTTACTTTTGAAACTATCATTCTGAGTGCTGTGTGGAGAACAGAGAGAAGAGAGGTAAGAATGGAGCAGAGAGACCTATGAAGATAAAACTGAAATAGTCCAAGTGAGAGACAAGGACCTAGGATCATGGCAGAGGAAATGGAAAGAAGTGGACAGATCAAAGATATTTTGGCACACTGCCCTGAACATTGGTTGGGATGCGGCAAAAGAAGTTGGTTATAGGATTATAAATATAAGAAATCTTCCCTCAACCAGCTTCCAATTTCATTGTAGGAAAAAGCACCCAACTGGAGAGTAACTGAGAGCTTACCTGGGTGATACAAATTCATTCAAGAAGTGTGTGGACAGAGCAAAAAAAGTCAAAAGGTAACTTCAAGGAGGAAGCAGAATTTGAGTTAGGTAGGAGTTAGAAAGACAGGAAAGAAGGAAGTTATTTTATGCTATGGGGAGCAGATGATTACCAGCATGAATGAAGATTATCATGTACTGTATAGTGGCAATAAGGCAACTGGTATGATTGAAACTCCTCCCTATAAGGCAGGAGGGGAGAATAAGGCTAGACAGAAATGAAGTGGAGAGTGGGGAAAGGAAAGAGAGGTAGGCAAGGGTATGGGAGACCTTGACAGTCAGGGAGACAAGCCAGCTTTATTGGAAAGATTAGCAACTTTTTCTCTAAAAGGCCAGATAGTAAATCTTTCTAGCTTTGCAGGCTATACAGTCTCTGCCACAAATATTCAACTCTGCCATCGTAGTGCAAAAGCAGTCATAGACAATATGTAAACAAATGAGTGTGGCTGTGTTCCAATAAAACTTTATTTATAAAAATAAATGGTGGGCCAATCCTTGCTTTATCTGATGGGAAATAGGAAGCAATTTTAGGGTCTTGAGCATGGGACTGATACACTAAGAGAAGATGCTGAATGCCTTTAAGGAAAACTTCATTAGGGTAAAATTTACATAAACTAAAATGCACATATTTTAAGTAGTTAAAATACAGTTCCATGGGTTTTGAGAAATATACAAACCTATGTAACTACAGCCATGATCAAGATATAGACTATTTCCATCGCCCTGAAAAGTTCCCTCAGAAGTTCCACTTCTGTCCCCAGGACACCCCTGATCTAGATAACTCTAGATAAGGTTTGCCTCTTAAATTTTATATACTTGGGAAATCATACAGCATGTACTCTTCTGTATCTGGCTTCTTTTGCTCTGCATAATTTTTGAGATCTAAGTATGTTGTTCTGTGTACCAAAGTTCATTCCATTTTTATTGTACAGCAGTATTCTACTGAAAGGATATATCACAAATTTGATTACCTATTCCCCTGTAGATGGACATTTGGATCTTTCCAGCCTGGGGCCATTTTGAATACAGCTACTATAAACATTCATGTATAGGTCTTTGTGTGCACATATGTTTTCACTCTTCATGGGTAAATACCTATGGTAAGCATAAACTTTTTAAGAAACTGCCCAACTGTTTTCCAAAGTGGTTGTGGCGTTTTGCATTCCTGATAGCAACGTATGAGAATTTCAGTTGCTCCACATCTTTGCTAACATTTGGTATTGTCAATCTTTTCAATTTTAGCAAAAACAATGGACTCAAACATACCAACCATCATGAATATGACACAGGACTGGGCAATGTTTCGTTCTATTATACATGAGGATGCCATGAGTTGGAGCCCACTGGATGGTAGCTAACTACAACAACAGTGGAAATGTAGTAGTATCTCATTGTGGCTTTAATTTTAATTTCCCCAATGTTGTACTTTGATCACATGGGGTCACCATGAATCAGAATAGACTTGATGGTAACTGGTTTGGTTTCGTTGGTAATGTTTGATGATGCTGAGTATCTTTTCATATGCTTATTAGCCATTTCCACCCTCTTTTTAATTCATCTTTGGCCCTTGGCTTCCTGCTTTCTACTCATCTATCACTCCTGAGTAACCTCCTCATAATTCATTATTGGCCCTAGCCCTCTGTCTGGTCTTAAGCTATCACTTACTGCATCTACTTTAGCCTTCCAATCTAGTAATGACCTCAGCCTCTCCTCTTACAGTCATCCTGCCCCACTGGATGCCACCTAATGGCAGAAGTGTGCATGTTGTACTGAATGGGGTAGATGGGAATGAGGTGGGCTCTAGGTGAGGCTCTCTGATGGCTGGGTATGCAGCAGTGGGGACCTGGTATAAGGTGGTGCCATCATAAGAGGAAAAGTGAAGGAAAACATGTTAAAAAGAAACAGGAGCTGATGTGGTGCCAGAATGAATACACGGCAGAGCTCATTAACCCAGATACCTTTGGGCAAAGGTAAGAGGCATTGGCCAAGTGAAGGGGCCAATGGTGGAAGAGGAAAGAGAAAGCCTGAGCCACCTGTCCAAGGCCACCAACTTCAGCTCATCACTGCCAGTAAGGGTCACAGGTTTCAGCATGCTAGAGATTAAGGGCTTTTCCAGAGAAGCTTCAAATTTCATATGTATTTTAATATGAAATCTACCAAGTGTAAGAGGTGAGAAAATAATTTAATTTAGGAACAAACAAACAAAAAAAAAAACAACCCCACCGTCTTAGGCTGGGTTCTCTAGTGAAGCAAAATCAGTAAAGCATATAAATATATATAGAAAGAGATTTATATCAAGAAAATGGCTCATGCAATTGTAGAGGCTAGAAGGTCCCAAGTCTGAGGGTCAGGAAAGAGGCTTCTCCTGATTCATGTAGCCACAGGAGCTGGCAAACTCAGATCAGCAAGTCAGACACTAGGGCTCTTGCTCACAGGCTGTGAATATCAACCAATCCCAAAATTGGCAGGCAAGACTGCAGGTAAGCTGCTAGTTCAAGCCTCAAGAAATGGAGGTCAGACAAACAGGAGCCAGCTGCGGGATCCAGAGTGAGCAAAAGCCCCCAAGCCTTGCCAGAAAGTCCACTTATATTTGATGCAGGCCACATCCTCAAGGAAACCCCCCTTCAACTGATTAGCTACTCATAGCAGATCCCATAATGGAGGTGATCATATATCAAATCTCATCATGGAAGTGATGATATCATCATACCACTGCCAAACTACATCATAACTGCCAAACAACTGAGAATCATGGCCTAACCAAGTTGTTACACAACCTTAATGATCACACTCTACGCCTTGTCAACTTGGCACCTATACACATCTCCTAAACCATACATAATCTCCGAATAAAGACAATTATACAGTCATACTTGAGCCTAATATGATATAAAGAACACATGTACAACTGAAAATGCACTAGCCCTGTTTACATCTTATATTTTATAGGTGAAGAGAAAAACAAAAATATTTGATGCACACATACAAGGCAAAAATACTCATAACAATTACAGTCCTCATTTCTGCAACTGGTCATGTCATAACTGGTATTTAGAACTACCGTCTTCCACCACCCATTCCATGTTTCCTTTGCCCTCAGCAAGCATCTCAGCTGGTTGTGGTTCTTTACCTGGTGAGGTGACCCAAATCTTCATTCCTGAAGGGTCTGGGCCATTAGTAGTCATGTGGGAATTAGGTTGCTCTAGTTTTCCATTCACTTTAACCACAGGGCATGGCAGTACTAAGAGATGCCCTGAGGGATCTCCTATATTCCAGACATACTCCTCTTTACCTCCATTATGTAACATCAATTTGATTTCCTCTTGGTAATCAGGATCAATCACACCAGCCAGTATGGTAACTCCCTTCATTGCCTGTTGATCCAGAGGCATAAGGAGCCCAAACTGGCCAGGTGGCATTGAGTTTCAAATTCAACGGAATCAGTGGTATGTCTCCAGTTGGGAACATTCATCCACTGGGACTAAGACCTCTAGACCCACAGAGCATAAGGTTGTGGGGACAGGAAGCAAAAATATTGTGAGTGGGTCAGTAAGGGTAATAGTGAATGGTGCCACCCCCATTTACAACCTTTGATTCCTGGACCCATGAATCCTGGCTATGGGAAAAACAGCATCATATATGTGATGCTGGTTTAGAGCATAAACAGCCTCCCGGAGAACATGGCCCAACCATGCAAGGTATTACCACCTAGCTGGCATCTTACCTGTGTCTTTAGAAGGCCATTACATCAATCCAATTGCTTCAGGATGATGGGGAACACGGTAAGACCAGTGAATTCCATGAGTGTGGG